CTATTTAAACAAATTGATTTGTTTTGAATAAATTCGGGTTTGTAGGAAAACGAGTTTCGGTTTAATTATCGTATATTGATGTTCATCATATTTAAACATTATAAATGATTTTAATTATGTTTAAAATTTATTTATTTATATCGTGAAAATGTATAGCTTTGATCAACCAGTTTCAATCGTTTCGAAAATATTCCCACAATTTAAACATTGTCGAGTAAACGAATCACCGAACCCAATAAATTAAAACTGAAATCGTACTTACCCTATTTTCGGTCCTTTTCGGAAAAATATCCATTTTCGTTCGTGTTCACAACACTAACACAACATACTTTCCGCAATATTTATTAATAATAAAGTAGAAATTCGCTAAAACGCCCCACTTTTACGCCAAAACGACGCGACGATCTTGCCGCCATCAAACAGAAATTAATACTGAACACAAAGGACCGCGAAACGTGACCTTCGGACAGGTAGCTCAGGTGACAGTGACGTCATCGTACGTCACGATGAAATTGCAAAAATTATTTTTCATATTTTGGCCGGGAAAATGCACATTTTCTGGGATAATTTAATAATGTTTAAACAAATTGATTTGTTTTTAATAATTTCGGGCTTTTAGGACAACGAGTTTCGGTTATCATATATATTTATGCTTATCATATTTAAACATTATAAGTGATATTAATTATATTATGTTTAAAATTTATTAATTTGTATCATGCAAATGTATAGCTTTGATCAACCGACTTCAATCGTTTCGAAAATTTTCCCAAAATTTAAACATTGTCGAGTGAAGAAATCACGGAATCCGATAAATTAAAACTGAAGTCGTAAGATAATTAGCTTTTATTTATGCATAAATTGTGCAGTGCGTTCTTTCTAACACTGACCATAGAGATTCCCAACTCAAGATGTCTACCCCATACTAACTGATATTTTGGTGACTCGATTTTTGCCTTGATGGTTGAACACTGTCACTATTTTCGTATTTCGAGTATGAGCATCTACTGAGTTTTATTTATATCAACCATTGTCAAAAATTTGATCGAACGTTGTTTCGACAGAACTTCCTTCGCACCAAAACTATAATGAAACATATTCAGCACTTTCGAGTTGAGTCTTTTCTTCACACAATTTTGTGATGACCTAATCAACATTTACGATCAACACGTATACCACCTTGGATTGGTGCAGTGTAATACTAAAAATAACTGTACTGTATTGCCAAAATTATCTGCGAAAATCGAGTGGGCCGTTCCATCAATTTTTGGGGGGAATAAGTAAATATTCTTAACAATTTACCATGCTTACAATAACTTTAAAACGTCTGCAAGATCTCAAAGTAGTCATTTCTTCAACTCTTGAGTTATTCTCTAAAATAAATTGACTGATCCATACATTTTTTGGAGTCACTGTAAAAACAAATCTAAAAAATATGAATGCAATGATAAATTACGAAAATATACTGATGATGTTTTGCACATTTTAGATAGGATTTGTTCGGCAAAATCTTGAGATGACGTCATCAAGTTTTTGGGCTTGATAAACAGATATATTTTGATTAAAAATCGGTTGTCTGTAAAGTCGGTTTACTGACGATAGTTGAACGTGACAACGTCTTAAGAAAATACTGATGGAATGGTAGCATTTTTCAAAAGAAAATTTTAATTTCATTTGTTTAATAGATTTGTATGTATATAGAGAAGGAGGTAATTAGAAATCACAATGAAATTGATCAAGTTAGATTTATTTATACGCATAAATACAATTATGTCAATTTTTTTTTACAATTTAATAGTTTTTACAAGTATAAATGTGCGTTGAGCAATTGTTTTACAACTGTTAAACATGTGTAATATTTAATTTCTTACAATCTGTGTTATTCTGTTGAGAATAGGACGATGATAGGAAAAGTAGGAAATAAAAGGGAGTGTTTCGAGTTTAATGTGTCTTGAAAAAGTCAAATCGATGGTGGTGCCTCCTAGTGTTGTTGAGTTATTAACGTCTGATGCACAATCGACATTAAACATGTCTTTCATGAATTTGATGAATGTTTCGTCATTTTTCACATTTGTGTTGAAGTCGCCACAAAGAAGAATTGGTATATTGGTATCAACTTCCATGATGGGATGTACATAGTGGCTGTTATAAACATACGGAAGAAGGAGAGAGACGGATGGCGAACGCTGCCGAACGCGAAGACCGATTGTGCCTCTTTGTCGCTCGTTCCGCGTTCTCGCTTGCACTTCAAGCCTTACATGGAACGCCTCAGAGCGAGGTAACGCCAGAGCGAGGTAACGCCGCATGAGTCATGTTTTTTCGTGCGTGCAGCCGGCTCAATCGAATTATAAGACGTTGTCACGTCAAAAACCTACCATGTCAAACAGTAACTTCAAAACGTCTGCAATATTTCAAAATTCAGTTTTGCAATTCTTGATTCAATCAATAAAATAAATTGACTCAGTGATTAATTTTTTTGAGACACCCCCTATAAGCAAAACTAAAAAATATGAATGGAATGATAAATCACAAGTATAGTATAGTCTCATCCTATTTTGGACATTTTAGATAGGATTCATTTGGCAAAATTTTGGGCTGACGTCATCAATTTTTTGGAGGGAGTAAATATATTTTGAATAAAAATTTATTCTGCTTATCATATGTTTAAAATATCTGCAAGCTTTCAAAGCATTCGGTTTTGCAGATTCAAAATTAAATTGTAGGTGAAACGAAGTTCACGGGGTCAGCTAGTTTTTGATAAATTTCACGCACTCACCAGATTGCGGGATGTCGAATATCCCGCACGCGTGCTTTTTACTTTCTGTAGTCGTTGCCAAGTTCAATTTTTGAAATTCTGTAAACCATTTGATTGGAGCGTAAAAAAATAATAATCTTAAGAACTACTGAAAATAGCGATAAGCGGTAAAGGTACTGTCTAAAAATGACATAAAAATCCAGCATTGTGTTAAAAAAAGCAAATGACGTCATAGTTTGAAAGGAGATGACAATCACAAATAGGTACAGCAAAGAGCGTAAATAGAAATAAAAATGAACCATTTTAGCATTTTGAACAAATACAGTTACTTTTGAAATTTCTGAATTTAATCCATAAGTAATTTTCACACTGTATATTAAGTGATACAGCAGAAACCAGTTTCCGCTTTGTGGTTGACTCTAATACTTTATGACAAGAGAGTGGATTATTGATTAGTGATTACCAATCAAAACCAAATTTGGCTGGCGAAGTCTCTCTGAAGGATACTTTTTCTGATGGATATCGGATCCGATTGAACGGTTTTATATCTTATATTTTGAATGTTCCTGTTTGGTAATAATAAGGTTTCATGGGGGTGCTTTGAAAAATAAAGTTACCACAGTATGTATACTTAAGCTTTCTTCGAAATATAGGAATTTTTTTTTGTTGATATAAAGTTTTGACATTTTTTGAGTTTGGACAATGTGGAATTTATGAAAGATAGAAACCCGAAAAACGTTTTTATATCAGTGATTCTAGTCCTGAAAACTTCCGAATCCGTTTGTTTTTGTTTTTTTAAAAAAAGTTTAACATTTACAAAACATTGGCCTTATTTATTTTCAAGAACTCAGTAATTAAAGAAATTCTGAATCTTTAATTTTAAAGAAATTGTATTGTACATAGTAAGTATATTAACTACTTCTGATAGCTCGGACCAAATAAAATAAAATGTTAATCAAATGATGGTTAAGTTGTGGGAATGAATATTGTCTTGTTTTAACAGTATAAATATTATTATTGTTTTAAGACCCACCACTGACGGGAAATTACCGTCATTTAGGCAAGACTTCCATCAATCGTTACGGGTTTTAAGACCAAGTAATGATATGCATTGATTAGATTAATAAAATATTTTTGAGGTTCTAGAATTATAGCATACAAATTCATCTAATCTTACCTCATCTCCAAGAGCCTAGCATAATTAGAATTACTGATCATTTATCCGCGCATTATTTGAAAAGTGACCTACACTGCTGTGAACTACTGACTACTGGTGCTAACTGCTAACCTATTCTGACTGACATGATCAGAGTGTTCCAAAACTTACGAACAGTTTGTGCTAGGATGCTACAGGATGAAATTGCGTGCTGAATTGTTTCGGGTTTTTCTTTACAGAGTCGACAACAATTGTTTTTTATATTTGGATATTTGATTATGTATGTTCTGTAAAAGTTGATGAGTCATACTACATACTAGAAGAAACATAAAATATACATACTAGAAGACCCATAGGCGTCGTAGCGGGGCGGCGTATGGGTTTATTTCCTAACATTACGTTGTCTAGTTTGTGGAATGTGGGGATTTCTTCGATACTGGATAAATTTAATTAACAGCGTGTGGTTCAAGTCTGTCCTTACTATGACGCGAAATAGTTCGTTTCTTTCTGTGTGTCTTAGGAAGTTTTTTTTTTCAGTAGGTACCGAAACTTGTTTCTTGTATAAATTTTCTAAGTTACCCCTTTCTATCTCGGTAATGAAAATCGCTCAATTTATGATTTCGGATGATGTCGTCTATATTGTGTGAATGATTTTCTTGTTGAGATGTTTAAATTTTCCAAATCAGTTTTTGACCATTCCAAAAGAGTAGGTTAGCAGTGAAAAACAGAATGTATTTACTGCTTTCATTAAATTTTTTCCGTTTGTGTTTTCAAAATTAATTTTAATATTGTCAGATGTTTTTCTTTGAGCTTTATCTTAGTTTTGGTATGATCAATATGGAAGGACTGATGAAAGCTTAGATATTTGTGTCTTTTCGTTCTTGGGTTTCCATTATTTCGTTTATTATTGTTACTATTAACAGACGTGCAAGTAGAAGTAGGAACCTGTAATATTAAATGTAAGGTAATATCGATATTTATAATACAAACATATATACATATAGGCAGACATCTCTATCTCTTACCATCGATATGTAGTTATTTACAGTCGAAAAGAAATAAAGACTCGATCAGTCGCTATTTGTTTATTCAGATATAACTAAATGTCTATAAACTTTGAAATACAATAAAAATATGCGTCTGCATTAACATCTACAATGTATCATAAAATAAACTTTAATTTTGATTTAGTACACTAATATAATAAAATAAATTCTATTATTTGCATAACTTACGAAAGAATGCGTTAAGTCCTAAGAGAATTCTTATATTGATTATGAAAACTAGACACATCAATTTTTTCCTATTACTTTGTATAGTGTAGCGAAACGTAAATACACTGTATTTAATAACAATTTAAAATATTTTGGCAAAGGGTAAATTGTTATTAAATCCGGAACGGGAGCACAAAACTTTAACAGATTTATTGTTATCGATATAGTTTTGTTTTATAGTGAGATGGTGTTTATAGTTTAAAAATATAGTTTATCTATAATATCCTTTATAATTATGAACAAGATTATTTTTTGTTTAGGTTTATAAAATAACTGTATAAAATCACATGCCTAAGTTGTAGTACAAAAATGCTAAAGTGGCCAGGGAAACGTTTTTAAACAAGTATTACGATTACAACAAAAATATCAAGTTCTCTTAAATAATATGTATTCTCCGATTATTTAGATCACGATTACGAAATATCGTGGAAGGATAACGCTATCGTACTTCCACGTGTAAGACGGCTCGGACTTTTCCAGTTGGCCATTTTTTCAATGCAGCTTGTCTCGTTTTCAGCTCGATCCTACCCAGATGTTTATCCTGAAATACTCTAGTAAGAAATATTATCTCACAGAAGTTCATATTTTTATTGCTGTTTTAAAAGTTACCTCGGTCATTTTAATTTTGGTGTACCATAGTATCTAGTGTGGCCAATGTGCACTTAGTATGAATGTATTATACATATTTAGATTTCACCCCGTACAGTATTTATTAGTTAAAATAGATACATGAAAAAATTCTATAAAGGATTTATGTAGCTGTAATATCTAGTTCTATTATTTATTATGTCATGCATCGAAAATTTCTATGTGAATATTATTAAATATGTAGGTGTCTATTTTATCTTAAAAGTTTCGTGCTTAATTTGTAAATTTTTGACTTTATGTATATTTTGATAGGTACTCGATAGTCACTAATTAATTATAATTCACTATTTTTCTGCCAAAATTTTTCCCTTGACAAACAAGTCAAATCTCTTAAAATATTGTAAATTTTATATAATAATATTGTATGCAATGATAAATTTAATGGCAGTGTTACGAGTTATAATAATAATTATTACAAAATACAGATAAAATCGGTACTTTGTATACAAGAATATTAATGACACATGTAGGGTTTTGATTTAGAGCCAGCCACTATACTTGAACACAATTCTCGAGGTCTGTCAAGCGTGTTCCGCAACCGTTTCCATATTGATTAACTATTTATAGTCCTTTTCAAAATAAGGTGAATTGTCTGGAAGTGTTGGTTTTCATACTACAAGTGTCACTAATTTTGTTATATAGTGTACATTAATATTAAAATATGCAGTATCAATTTTTAGTAAATAAAATATCTAATAAAATAACAGAATTAGACGAACCACTATAATTTATTCATTTTTTTAATAATATTCGAAGATTTCAAAATATAGTAGGTCGTCATGTTCTGAACGATACATTTATAATATAAATTACATCTGCAGGTATTAGTTTAATGGCAACCTTTATTTGAAAGAATTTAATTACCTAAGTCGATTTAAAAATTTCTGCACAAAATTTAGAACCCGAATAATTTGTAACAATACCATTGGTTGCTTATCACGTATTTACCTAAAAGTGGTAGCTTTTCAGTCAATGAAGTTATTGCTTTTCGTGTAGTTATATTTTAATTAGCAATAAATGCTACTCGAAAGTCATTCATTCCTAAAGTCTACTTGGTGGAGTTGGTTGGATGATCTTCAAAACTTACAGTAATAAAAAATAGTACCGAGTGATCGAAAATTTTCACCTGAAGTGGACTATGGTCATCACTTTGGTCGCTATTTTAAACACAATAAAAAGTCACGTACAGTGAAAATACTATAAAAAGAACATACTGAATCATCACGATCTGTCACTTAGGCAATGGCCAGTGGTGTATTATTTGTGTTTTGAAATAGGATCATTCTAAAAAATATATTTTCATATACCTAGATACTTTTATAGATATTAACATTTATTATGCTCGTTTGAACAAAGTACGAAAAGCACTCATGAACTACGAAAAGACGAAACGCAACACCGTTAGGTTGAGCTACAAAGGAACCACAAAACAGGATGTTGAACGGAATGATCAATGCAGTTTCCTCCCCCTAAATTCGCAAGTGGACTCGTTCAGACATTTTTACGGCTACTGCGACGTTTCATTGGTGTGAGTGTTCTTCCCAAAATGTTTTCACTCTACAAGATTCAAACTTAAAAAAGTTATATCAAGATGTTATTAATATTATTTGTGCAAAAGTTAAGAACGTTTTGATTTCGGACGTTCTACCGTACATGCACAATTAGTTCTAAATTTAAAAATTTCAACGCCATGGAAACAGTTGGGAAAACGTAAAAAAATAATCTTTCAAAACTGTCAAGTGATTGTCATTAATAATAATTATTCGACAACCATTTAAAAGAACACTTAAATCCTTCTCAATTCCGGGTTTTACTTGATTTGTTTTTTTTTGGTTGTAAATTATTTTAAGTTTTTTTTTATTGAGGTAGTTAATTCCACAGTTTATGAAATATTTCTGTACTAGGCTTTCCACTTCAATACCATTTCATTAGAGATTATTTTTTTTGTATATAATACTCCTTATTACGAATATTTTTTCAATTAAGATAAATTAAACTGACAATGAATTAAATAGTTTCGAATAATTGCTTAAAAACTGTTTTATTTTTTCTGTGACCATAAATGAAATTACGAGTGAAATTGACCAACTGGAATGTGTTACAGTTAAACTTAAATATATGTAGTTGGTTTACAAAATAAATAAGTAGTTTTACGAAAAGTGATTTTATAAAATGGTGTATTCCCTTTGTGACAATTTATAAACTTTAGCCGCATATAATTCAAATAAGTATACGAAAAGGAAATTAAGGGCAATTTTATAAAAATTGTCAGCAGCACAAGTTTTGGATAGTTTTAGATGTAGTTTGTACAACTTCGTTGTTTAGCAAAGCAGATTTAAATTATACAAATAAATGTTAAGGGAGGAATTCGGTATAAGGCACTTCATGTTAAATGACTAGTTAAAATTGCTTCAAAATTAGTATTTACTTGAAACGGAAATAAATTATAGAATGAAGAATCTACAAAATGAAATATAATTATGTTGTTTCCTTATTGCAGTAGAAAAAAAAATGAAATAAGTTATGTTGCATTTATAAATACGAAGAAAACATTTAGTGAAGTTGTAGGCCAGTGGATGCTTGTAGTCATTTTAGGAAAATCTAAGAAGTATAAGATTAAAACATAATGCTATAATGCAACAATATATTTACCAACTGTATCAATGGCGTATTTTTTGGATTATCTAGCAAAATGAAGTCGTCTACATTGTGATGAATATCAACAATAACGTCGATATAAACCAATATTTAAAACTACCAATAATTTTGCCTGATATCAAAGGAAAAGCATCAAAGTTTTTCCTCGTGAACGAGCATTTAGACGTATCTAGAAAATATGTACCTCTAAGGTCTTTAGACTTTAGTATTTACATATTCTTTTGTAAATACAGCCATGGCAAAGGTGAAAAGTAACCAATACATAAATTTGGTATTATGCCTCAAGAATTAGCTGCTTACTTATACTTACGATCCATTAAGGAATATACAGGACACTGGTTTTGCCGGACGTCTCCCACTTTGTTAGTAAATTTCGAGTCTGATTTTAAGGTGTTAAAGAGCCACATTATAAGGATTGTGTTATTAATAAATCTGTTATTAGTAACGTAAACATTTTGGGGACTGATTAAAAATCTCAAAATGCAATATTATTTCAGAAAATACGTTCAAAAATTCCTTGAACAAATATTATCGTTGTATTGTGTATTTCGAATAAAAAAATTATTGCAGTTAAATTCTCTTAAGAATTTGAATTCATTGACTTGATTTTTTTATGTTCAGACAGTAAAAATTTACATTAACCACCAATGTTCTTATTTCTCAGTTTATGTTTAAATTATTTTCCTCGCCTTCTACTTCATGTAAGAGACATTTTTGTCATTTTTAGTACATATTTTGTCTTACTATGGCAATTTTTTCTAATCTTCTAAAGCTATTTTCTGTGAAATATCGGAATTAAATTACTGACTAATAACATGTTACAGAGTATCTTGTGTGATTTTTAAAAACATCTATCATTTAAAGACATGTTATTCCATTGTGTTTGTAATTTGGAATAATGGTTAGACGGCACCGTTGTTACAACCAAAAGTTATTGTCATAATTACTATGTGCAAAAGACATGTGATGGCTAAAATAATAATAACATACAACGCTAAATTAAGTATGATATCGCCATTAGGTAATTAAATTCTCGTAAATGAATAATATGAAATTGAGTCGCACTATGTGTATCAATCGGTACAGAGGTCAAGAATAAATGGAGGTACATTGTGAGGGTAAGTAAGGAGCTGTATCTTCTGTAGGTAACATTTCTGCCAACTTCCATTTATCTCTAATTTGTTCAACTTTCTCGAATACCCTCAAAAAATTAAGACCAGCCAGCAGCGATATGTCCTCCTCGCTCCAGACTGGATCCGCAAGAAGTTCAGCTAGCAGATGGGGATACCTTGATACATCTTCCAGACCTACCGGAGTCATATTGATGCCATCGTAACCGGCCCCGATGCCGACGTGATCGATTCCTGCCACACTCCTAATGTGGTTAATGTGTTTGATGACATCGTGCATCGAGGCGTTCTCGTTACAGGTGACCAAATACGTGTAAAAGTTAACCATGACAATGCCTCCGTTGTGTGCCACCAGCTTGAGGACGTCATCAGGCACGTTCCGCGAGGAGTTGCACAGAGAATAGGCGCCAGAATGGGAGAAGATGACTGGCGCGTGGGAGGCGTTGATGGCGGCTATAGCGGTTCTTATGGAAGTGTGGGAGAGGTCGATGATCATACCCAGCCGGTTCATCTCTTTAATCACGCTTTTACCGAAGTCCGTCAATCCCTCTGATCTTGGGGAATTAGCTCCCCACGCCCAGGGGGTGTCGCATGAATGCGTGATCGTGAGATAGCGGGCGCCCAGGTTGTAGAAGGTCCTCAAGACCGCCAGCGAGTTGCCCAGGGCGTGTCCTCCCTCGACCCCGATCAGGGAGGCTATGCGACCCTCCTTGTGCACCTGGAGCAGCTCGCTGGAACTTCGCACCAGCCTGAAATGCTGAGCGTTGATGTCGACCAGCCGCTTGACAACGTCTATTTGTTCTAGTGTAATTTGCACCGCATCGAGATGCTGGGCTTTGCAAGGCACGTAGGCTGACCAGAACTGGGCCCCCAGAAGCCCCCGCTTTAGTCGCGGAATGTCCGTCTGGGACCAACGGCTTTTGGACCACGGTTCTTGCTCTTCAATGGCACTGAGATTTAGCTTGGACAGCTTGTTGTGAACAAACTTACGCAAGTTCCAGGGCAAGTCATTGTGTCCATCGATTAACGGAACGTTCTTCAATAAACGATGGACGATTTCTAGGCGTTCCTCTAACGTTTGGGGTTTTATCTCAGGAGTTAAGGCAAAAGGAAGGCTTAAACTAGCCGCTACAATCGCGACTATAACACATACCGCGAGGCAGATGCACCAGGGACCAAAAACTGAACTTCTAGATGAATCACTGTCGGTACTGCATGAGCAGGATTCTAGGGATGCTCCGTAATCATAATCGTAATAGAAATTATTCGGGACGTAATTAGGCACTGCACTAAAAGAAGTTTCTTGATGGACTGGCAGTTGGCGCGGACATGGAGGAATCTAAAATAATAACACATTATTAGAATTTTGTATAATGGTCTTGTTTATTTTTAGAATACACCACTATATTTTCATATAGAATACAAATTGAAAAGTTAGCTGCTTCCAATAAATAATACGACTCCAATTAATAGTACTAAATATTGAAGACCGGGATCAAACGTTCCAGGATTTGATGATGGAAGATTGTCCGCAGTTTGTAATTCGTTGAAATATCTATTATACAGTATTTGATATCTGATTGCGTTTAATACAGCTCGTCTTAAGTAAATAATCTAAAAATACGTTTAGCAATAAAGGATGTTTCTCTTTTTAATAACATGTTATACAATTGTTTTACATTACAGACCGTTACACAGCGTGATCCCAAAAAATTAATAAATGAGTCAGTTTATTTTATTGATCAAATCAAAAATTGCAAATCGAATGCTCCGAAACCTTTTAAAGTTATCATGGCATGGTAAATTTGTATTAAAAATATATCTGTTTATTCCTTCTAAAAAATTTACGGCGTCTTAAAGTTTTGCTCAATAAATGCTAGCGAAAATGAACAAAATATGATGAGTCTATATTTGTGATTTATCATTACCTTCACATTTTTTAGAATTGCTTATGCAGGGTGACTCAGAAAAATGTCATGTATTTTACTGATTCAATCAAGAACTGCTCACTTCATTTTCCGGAAAAATTGGAAATATAATACGTATAATATTGTTATTGTTAGTATTACACTGCACTTATCCGAACTGATATACCTACGTATCCTTGCAAAAATGTTAATGATGTCATCACAAAATTTCCTAACGGAAAACCTTATTTGAAACATACGCCTAGTCCACTTTTTGCATTTACTTTAATATTACATGCTTATCTTTATTTTAACTTTTAGGAATTTTCATAAAAAATAGAATTCACAAAATCAAATTTTGTAATTTTTCGAATAAGCTAGACATGTCTTATTCAAATTTCTTAATAAAATGATAAAATTAAATTTTGAGAATTTTTATTTTATATGATAACCGATAATAATATAAATTAAAATAAAGATATGTGTGCACTTTTAAAGTACAGGAACATGCTATGCAGTGGCATCAATAATGCCCCTGCAGCCCCTGTGCCGACTATTGTTCTTACATTTAAAGTAGATAATAATCAACGAGAAAAAAATTATTATCAGTTAAACATATTTCGATTACATACTTATATTTATACATTGAAAGAGTGCGACAATTAAGCACGTACCTATAGCAGAATACGTGGTGGTAGGTTAAAAGTATGCATTTGTCTTAAAAGAAAATGAATTTTGACTGATTTTGTCTTGTCAAAACAGAAGAGAGGATTAATTATTATTAATTATGCTACAATGGAGCAAAACGTTCTGAATATTATTTAGGGTGAGTCGCTATTATTAGAATAATAATTATTTTATTATAATTAAAAATTGCTGATATTTTAAAAAATTCTCAAATGGAAACACATAACATTATCTTCTGAAGTTGAAACACGTTTTAAATAATATAATAAAAGTAACTTAACAATAAATACAGAAAATGAAGCAAAAACGAAAATTTGAAGAAACATTTTTAGCAAATTTAATATTACCCTATTACGAAACATTTTTGTAATTGGAATCTTTGTGGGAAATTTCTTGTTGCTCAGTGCAATCTGTTCGCTTTAAACAAAAAATTACGTTGAACAATTGACACTACACATTTAATGCGACGAAAAGATCTTAGATTATGAACCAAAAGAGATATATATTTTTTTATTCAACTCCGGGCGGAATCATAAAAACAATGACTAGCACAATTGCATGGCTTCCAAAAGAAATTGCGTAGTACATTACATCTGGGAAGAATATATAAGCTACATTTAATATTAATAAGCAAGATGGAGTGCTGCATTTTATGTGCTTCAGAGCATATTATTTTTAAAAGAGATCCTAAAATGTTTAGAAAAAATAAGAGAAACGTTGTGACGTTGACACGAATGCGTCATTTAAATATGACAAAGGATAAATTGATATTGTAAAAGTGAAATGAAAACTACACTGAAAGTTCAGTTTCTCGCTCAAGACGTAGGCGAAGCATATCACTTCAACATTACTACTTTTACAAATTTGTTTTTAGTTGTTTTCAGTTTCCAAGAACACCGACTCTCAAAAATTTCCTATTCTGAGTATGCTGTGTGTGTCTTTTACTGAAACAAAATTTAGAAATGTTTTTGCTTACTAATAATAAAAATAAAAGCTAAACTTGATACTTCGCAAATATATGAAATTGTTTCCAGTTGAATAGTTACGTGGGCTCATTATTTTTCTTTAGATTTTTACATAATAATCCGCATAAAAAAGTGTTAAAAGTGTAATCTCGTAATATTGATTACTATGCAGTATGACGAAGAAAACGACATTCGGTGCTTTAAATATATTATGGATATATAGAATATTAACCAAAAATGTATTTATTTATTTATTCCCACTAGAAAGTTTACGACGTTACCTCAAAAATATTAAATAATAAATCTTTATTGGAAATTACGTTCTGGGTTCAATTTTGCTTGTGCATTTAATTTTTGAAATTACTTGAACAATGTGTTTCTAAAAAAGAGAACGAAGTAATGTCTTTTGTTGATTGTCTCAGAAACGGTTCGTCTAATTTCGTCAAATTTTTGTGGATACAATAGCTTTGTATACAAAGTTCGTCCCTCTATCTTACTTAAAAAAACTGGTGACTTTAGCAGAACTTCCCTCTGGCCTGAAGTACAAGCCAACAAATTCCACTTCTTTGAAAAATTATAATAACACAATACCACAAATGTAGGGGTATATAATTTTCTAAAATATAAATAATATTTGACAATAATCGATCCTGTAGTTTCGGACATTATCTATCTGCCTCATAAAAATCGACAGTGACAATAAACGGTCGTACCCGAAATGTGGTGCAAATTTTGCTCAATATCAGGTAGTTATAGGTAGGTATTTGGATACGTCTGATCGAATTGAGGTTTGTCTTGGAACTGTAGGGGTTCAGATAGTCTGGAATCGTTCTTAAAGCAATTGAATAAATTCAAAGAAGAATAGAAACATTTAGTGGTATAAATTTAAATCTTAAGGGAAATCAAATCTTTTTTAGACTAAAAAAAAAACTGAAATTTTTATGTAAAAACAAAAAGCGATAGGTATATTGAAAAAGATGTGGTTCGTAGACAAACTTTTATGCAATCTAAAATTGTCTAATATAAAAAAATAATGAAATTTTGGGACATGATAAGTATTTGGAAACGTGTTAGCTACAAATCTGCTACTGTCACATCATAATTTTAGTTTATAAGATACTGTATGTAAGCTTCGGAATAATGGAAGTATTGCTTGCGTTTGCGAACTACTGCCAGCGTTATTGCAGTCGCGGACACGTTTTTTGCTACAACGTCGGGAATTCTAAGCAACAATTACTATTTTTCGAAGTTCTTCTCAGTTAGACGAGTTCTCTTAGATGTTAAAATTTATTTAAAAATTAAAAATGACTGTTTAACATCACTATTTGCGTGATGATCTTGATTAGCTAAACCCTGAACTGAACGCAGCGCCACTGAGTTGGAGACTGTACAGTCGGCCAGCCAAATTTATCGCCTGATGTCGCGCCGTCGCATTTAGTGTTTGTCTGATTGATTCCTCATAACTTCGGATCTTCCTAACTTTGCATACAATCTATTCTGTTGTTTCAAAGAGTTATGGTCGTCTTATTGAACGATTTCAGAAATGATATCTTTCGTAATTTAACAATGACATCAATACGTTTTATTAATATGTATGTATGTAGGACAGGACAGGATCGAAACATAAACAAACATTTACTGACAGTAAATATGAAATCCCTAACTAAGAATTTTACCGTAATTCGGTCAGGCCGTTACAAAATTTTGCACAGCAGTTCGGTCGCGTCTTAGAAATGCATAGACAGGCGGAAGCAAAATACCATTTTTTTTAATTCTAGCGTCATGAGCGTCGAGAAAACATGAAAGTAGCCAATTTTAGGGTAGACCTTATTACAATACTTCCTTAGCTAACGCTAGGGAAGTTCAGAATTAAAAGAGTTTTTTAAAGGAGATTCACTGAACTTCCTTGCCAATTAAAATTTTATCAAATAGTCTCATTTCAAAATTTACTGTCATTTCCAAGAAAGCATTTATTAGTAACTGATGTGTAAAATTTCAGGTAAAATTTTCTAAATGTCATAGGAGAAGGAGCGACTTTATTTGTAAAAATTGCTGTCAACAAGCCAATTGCATAATTCCTAAAAATTTTATTAAACAAACTTTAACTGAAAAATGTACCCTGATACGTTTACGGTATTTGTTGCATTTTAGAAGCGAGGGAAATTTTACAATTGGTAAGACAAACTCGATTAAGAATTGATATTTGTATAACACTGTATCTTACAGCACACATTGAATCAATAATTTAGTTCCTTATGTACAAATGAAAAAAGCAAAATTAGGATTTTAGTGCTCCTGGTGTTCGAATAAAGGGAATGAGTTTTACTCGTGTGGAGAAATGGCTTTGCACGCTGCTTTTATGTAAGATAAAATAAACTGTTTCAAATTTGTTTACACATCACTTAACACTTTATTCTTCGTTTCTAATTTAAATTATTATTATATTATAAAAGTCAAGTCCAAATCCAATTCTCTTATCAGTCTTATCACATTTTCATAATAAAAGATTTAACGACTTTTTACCGAGTTCTAATGTTTCGAATAGATTCAATGGCGCAGATTTTGGGCTATTCATTACTCTAATAAATGAATTGCGTTGTTTTCGGTACCTTCATTTTCGTCCATTAAATGAATTGGAGGCTAGATAGAATACTCATTTAATTTTTTTTCCCATGTTTACAACTGTTAATGGGTAATTTAGATTATATTCATAACTTAAGTTGATTTATAATTTTGACTCACCAAAGGCATACTTGTTCCTGTTTTATGTTTTATGTTTT